TAACTCTCCCAGAGACATTTAAGGCAGGAAGAGCACGAGACGGGGTGATGGCCAGGGACAATTTTCTTTCATGCTACATTATGATGGTGTTTTGTTTTAAAGACAAATATTTACAACAACAACAACAAAAGATTTAATTAGTATGTATAGTTTGTGTGTGATATCATCCACAAACTATGCGTTATAAAATCACAGATGACGACCTTCAGTAGTGCGGCTGATAGCTTTGAAAATGTGGCTAGCCATGAACCGGAGCTTTGAAAAATACTTTGCAACGGCCCGCTTTCTGAAGCCTTCATCATTTGCTAGTAGGAGTCACAAACACGTGTCCTAGAGAAGATATGGTTCCAGATCTGTTAGTGATTTATTAGAGGTGATCAGTCTCTGCAACAAGACGCTTATTGTATAAGACGGTGCCTAGTTTTTTTAATAGGGAAAAATAGTTGAACCACATTCTGCATATATAAGACCATCCAGTTTAACTTCAGAAACTGAGGAAAGATTAGTCTTATACTCGGAATATACGACATGTCTGTCATTTTTAACAGCTTAGACAGATTACCCTAAAACTGTTCTATGGCGTACAAGTCGAACATGGCATACTAGTCGACCTCTTTAGCATAAAATTCCGAATTGGAATTTATAACTCGTAACGATATTATACCTGTCATATAAGCAAAATTCCTAGTCTTGAAAGAACTATACCAGGATTGAAAAACACGATCAGACGCGATGTTTTTGGTAAGTGACTTCAATCACTTACTCGTGTCGTTAGTGTTTACTGCACTCATAGAATTATTTAACCAGTTGACAGGCGCGTGTTATGTGCGGTAACTGTTGTCGGAAGGGTCTCCGTAGGTCAAGAGATCAAGTGGTTTGCCTTGCGCTCGAAGGTCGTGGGTTCCATGGAGCGTCATTCGGTTCTACTTCGAGAGATCCAGGAAGTCGTCGCTGGCTTTCTAACGAACTGATACAGAAAATATTTTAAAATACCTCAGTCCACAGAAGGGAAAAGAATGGCCTTCCAACTGAAATGGTAAAGAAAATGTTTTATAATACCTCAGTCACAGAAGAAAAAGATCACATGAACTGGAGGGGAGGGGGGGAGGGGATGTTGGGGGTACCGTTTCCGGAACAAGAGCGAGGGCAGATCTCTGCGATATGCGGACAGGTGATTGCTGTGAAGAGAGTGGTGTTCTGTTATGACCGGTCGCATATGATGACGATGACTATAATCGCAAAGATGCTACCCACATATGTTATAGACCAGTGGTCACCTCTATGGGGGGATGTCTTCAACCCCACCGCGATTCCTGCAACATCCCCTGCACCCAATCCATGTACACACCCAGAGCATTTCCCTGTAAACTCCCAGATCATTCCCTCTACCCAATCCCGGTTAACCCCCAGAGCATTCCCCGTAACTCCCAGATCATTCCCCTCTAACCAATCCCTGTAACCCCCAGGAGTTACATTCCCTGTAACTCCCAGGTCATTCCCTTACTCAATCACTGTAACTCCCAGATCATTCCCCTCTACCCAATCCCTGTAACTCCCAGATCATTCAATTACCCAATCCTGTAACTCACAGAGCACTCCCTGTACCCAAACACTGTAACCCCCAGAGCATTCCAACATTACCCAAATCCCTGTAATCCCCAGAGCATTCCCCGTACCCTTAATACCAGTAACCCCCAGAGCATCCCCCCTCTGTGGAAGATAAGGTGGAAATACAAGAGGTGGTATAAGTGGAAGATATGGTGGAAATAAAAGAGGTGGTATAAGTGGAAGATATGGTGGAAATAAAAGAGGTGGTATAAGTGGAAGATATGGTGGAAATAAAAGAGGTGGTATAAGTGGAAGATATGGTGGAAATAAAAGAGGTGATATAAGTGGAAGATATGGTGGAAATAAAAGAGGTGGTATAAGTGGAAGATATGGTGGAAATAAAAGAGGTGGTATAAGTGGAAGATATGGTGGAAATAAAAGAGGTGGTATAAGTGGAAGATATGGTGGAAATAAAAGAGGTGGTATAAGTGGAAGATATGGTGGAAATAAAAGAGATGGTATAAGTGGAAGATATGGTGGAAATAAAAGAGGTGATATAAGTGGAAGATATGGTGGAAATAAAAGAGGTGATATAAGTGGAAGATATGGTGGAAATAAAAGAGGTGGTATAAGTGGAAGATATGGTGGAAATAAAAGAGGTGGTATAAGTGGAAGATATGGTGGAAATAAGAGAGGTGGTATAAGTGGAAGATATGGTGGAAAACAAAGAGGTGGTATAAGTGGAAGATATGGTGGAAATAAAAGAGGTGGTATAAGTGGAAGATATGGTGGAAATAAAAGAGGTGGTATAAGTGGAAGATATGGTGGAAATAAAAGAGGTGGTATAAGTGGAAGATATGGTGGAAATAAAAGAGGTGGTATAAGTGGAAGATATGGTGGAAATAAAAGAGGTGGTATAAGTGGAAGATGTGTTAAAGGCTGAAGATGTGGATGAAAGCGAGGAAGATATGGTGGAAGTGGTTCCATGCGTTTATGACAGAGGCTAGAGGGGGAGAGGAGGCGGCACTACGAGTAACAACGGCATTAACAAATATTGTTTACCCCACACAGGAGTGGTCGGGAGAGTGAATCATTTCACAAAGCACAGTTATTGCACGCTCGTGGGCATAAACTGAAGATAGCAGATCTAAGAGATTGTCAATTCAAACCAAATATGTTCAGACGGGAAACGACCTCATAAACGCTAGCAAGGGTTGGGTGAGAATGATACGGGTCTATGTAGTAATCCTAGGAGGAGACAGGACGATTAAGTCTAGTTCGTGATAATGATGAAAAGATAAAACGTAGGCCAAAGCGGTGCAGAAGTTAAAGTCATTACAGTTGAACTGAAAGTGATTGACTTGATTACAAATGTTGACTTATTCTGTCGGTAACGTTGTGTCGGCTGGATATATTGTTTCCTTTATTTGTGCTTCTAAATCTGACCTATTTTGATATAATAATCCAGAATTATTATAAAACACTTATCTGGAAGCAGCGAAGATGTTGTTTTATTGACGAGTGATGAGAACACACTTGACAGATTGTAAACGAAAAATAAAAGAGTATTGAAGATATCTAAAAAAAGAAACTGTTACGAAGAGAATTTACTACCCACATCAGAAGGAGACACAATTTATTCTTTGATCATTTTCATAGAATAATTACAAAATATTATCAAATAGTTATCTGGAAAGGGCGGATATGTTTTATAAAGGAAGGATGGGACATAAGGGAGAGATAAAAAGAGTAATAAGGATATCCTGAAAGAAAATGACTCAAAGAGAACCGACTGCCAACATCAGAAGGAGTCAATCTGCATTCTTTGTTCATGTTTTGAGAAGGAGGAAAATGGAGTACATTTTGACAGTGGGTAAGTTGGAGGGGAAAAGCGTCAGAAGGAGACAGAGAAAGAAAAAGATGCTGGGCAGTTTGACAACAACTGTGCATGGACTGTGTCAGAACTGATTGAAAGTACACGAGACAGACAAAATGTTGTTGACAGACATGACCGCCAACTACAACAGGGACGGGCTGTAAGAGGAATGAGAATGATGCCTAATTTTGTGTGTAGTACTGTGTGTGTAGTACCGTGTGTGTAGTGCTGTGTGTGTAGCACCGTGTGTGTAGTAGTGTGTGTGTAGTACCGTGTGTGTAGTGCTGTGTGTAGTACCGTGTGTGTAGTGCTGTGTGTGTAGCACCGTGTGTGTAGTAGTGTGTGTGTAGTACTGAATGCAGTACTGTGAAGTCAGTACAAGAAACAGCTCACTTTCACGACTGTGTCGGATGGGGCAACAACGCTTCCAGTCTTAAACATCTCCCCATGTATACCGGATATTCCTCGTGTGCTCTGGTCAGCATGGTTGATGTATTTGTAGGTGCTAAGTTAAGTCAAACTCCACAGTGTGCTGTTTATCTGGGCCCGCCTGGGTGCAGTAAAATCATTCTGTTGTTGTCATCATTTTATCTTTAATCTGGCATCAAATGTGAAATTCTGGGACTGAAAGACATATTTGTCTAGACCGATCGACATATGGGGGGGGGGGGGTGTTGGTCAACATCACACCAACCGTGTTTACTTCCCAGGGGACACACTAGTACCTATTTTAGGCTGGGTCGAACTGGCAGACAAAATCACGTGTGGTGACAAATCTACTAGAGTGTGTATCTAAACCCTTGACCCCCCAGACAGCTAAGTGAGTATCTAGCATGTAGGACTGTAGTTGAAAAAAAAAAAAACACCAGGCCTTACCGTTTCACAATGCTTAGTCCGCACAGCTTTGATGATAAATGCTCTGGCCATGCTTTTCGCTGCATGCATTAGGGCATTGCTTGCCAGTTGGTCCTCTCGTTCGTTACCTATCACGCCGAAATGACCAGGTGTATAGATCCAGATGAGGGAGGTTAAGTGTAACTTTCGAATGCTGTCTAACTTTGGTACTGGGATGATTTCATTTGACCTCTACAGATATTCTGGTGTTGTGAAATCTCCTCTAACTTACTGCATTTTAGTGTTTTTACATTTGTTCCCACAACCAAATTGTTAAGAGCCGATTATTTTTTTAAATGTCGCCACAATTTACGTAAGTTCAGGGTTTTGTTTATCTTCTTCGTCGTCGCCTGCTGACAGCTGTATATCTCGAAGAAAAGCCTCAACGAGGGTGGTAGTTTGTAGCGCAGCTACTCTCAGACAAGTCCAGTCTAAACAGCACCTGCTGTGAGCCGATTCATAACAACCTAACTTTGTTGGAGATCACTGCTACCAACATGTGCACACACACAGACTATAGCAACATTTCAAAAGCCAGATTTGACCACAGTTTTGTTCCGTGTCTCAGATTCAGGAACGAGGATAAAGCTACCCTTTCTGTGGAGTAATATTTGAAATACTTTCCTATTCTTTTGAAAGACGTTATTTTCCCACTGTATCAACCAAAGAACTATTAAAGACGATGTTGCCTGTAAGGAACGCTATGTCTCATTGGTTCAACGATAAAATCTGCCAGTGGGTTTTATTATTAGCCCTGGTTGCCAGGCATTGTTGTGGACACGTGGTACTGACCTATCCACCTGCCAGAACCTACCCTCTGGATTTCCTGAACAATATCGGGACTCCAGCGCCTTGTGGAATGCCTAAAGGTAGGATCTGTTTCTGTGTCGTCTCCTTTCTTTGATATATATTTGTGTCTGACTTTGTTAGTCTATTATGTAGTTTAGAAAGCTGGTTGCATATCCTGTACAGAACGTTGCATATTCTCTACATGGCGCCTACACATTTTCTGTATGTCGTTGCATATTCTCTACAGGAAAATGCATATTCTCTATATGACGTCTACAGGACGTTTCATATTCTCTACATAACATTGCATATTCTCTACAGGACGTTAAATATTCTCTACACGTCGTTGCATATTCTCTTCATGTCGTTGCATATTCTCTTCATGTCGTTGCATATTCTCTTCATGTCGTTGCATATTCTCTACACGTCGTTGCATATTCTCTTCATGTCGTTGCCTATTCTCTACATGTCGTTGCATATTCTCTACATGTCGTTGCATATTCTCTTCATGTCGTTGCATATTCTCTTCATGTCGTTGCATATTCTCTTCATGTCGTTGCATATTCTCTTCATGTCGTTGCATATTCTCTACACGTCGTTGCATATTCTCTTCATGTCGTTGCATTTTCTCTACATGTCGTTGCATTTTCTCAAAAAAAAAAAAAAAAAACGTTGCATATTCTCTACAGGATATTGCATATTCTCTACATGTCGTTGCATTTTCTCAACAACAACCAAAAAAAAAAAACGTTGCATATTCTCTACAGGATATTGCATATTCTCAACAAAAACTTCAACAGAAAATTTCTCTTTATGGATACAGAGGCCACTTACCGTCTACACATTTTTTTTGGGGAGGGGTTCATCCACGCCCCCCCCTCCTTAAACTTATTTTGGTAGTGTTCATCCCCCCTCCCCAAAAAATAACTCGGAAAGTTTCACCCCTCCCCCCCCCCCACCCTACGTTCTCAACGGTACATTTTTGGCTGCCGGGCCAAGCTGCGTGTATTAGTAAAAGAGGTGTGGTGAAATAAAGATTATATCTGACGCATGAACTGATCGCTTGAATAAATGCGCAGAGAAAGTGTTCTTTGCCCTGTAATCCGGGAATATCCTGCGGATGTAGATCTCAGGTGCAGATTGTGCCAGTAAATGTTGGCGACCGGTAACAGTTCAGTGCAAGCAGCAGGTAGATTCACCACAATATATGTTTGAAGTTTGAAGTCTGAACAACGGATCAACATCATGGCACACGGATAGTAACCCATAACTGCTCCGTTCTTCTTATAACTCAAATCTGAGTAAATAGAAGCTCAGCACAGTTTTACACACAAACGGCTCTGTATGTCCACACATAACACAGTTATCTCTATATGTCCACAAATAACACAGTAATCTCTATATGTCCACACATACCACAGTAATCTCTATATGCCCACACATAACACAGTAATCTTTATATGTCCACACATAACTCACACAGTAATCTCTACATGCTCCCCCAACCATACACACCGTCATCAATATATGTCCACACATAATTCACACAGTAATCTCTATATGTCCACACATAATTCACACAGTAATCTCTATATGTCCAAACATAATTCACACAGTAATCTCTATATGTCCACACATAATTCACACAGTAATCTCTACATGCTCCCACAACCATACACACCGTCATCAATATATGTCCACACATAACACAGTAATCTCTGTATGTCCACACATAATTCACACAGTAATCTCTACATGCTCCCACAACCATACACACCGTCATCAATATATGTCCACACATAATTCACACAGTAATCTCTATATGCTCCCACAACCATACATACCGTCATCAATATATGTCCACACATAATCGATACAGTAATCTCTACATGCTCCCACAACCATACATATCGTCATCAATATATGTCCACACATAATTCACACAGTAATCTCTACATGCTCCCACAACCATACATACCGTCATCAATATTTGTCCACACATAATTCACACAGTAATCTATACATGCTCCCACAACCATACATACCGTCATCAATATATGTCCACACAAAATTCACACAGCAATCTCTGTATGTCCACACGTAATTCACACAGTAATCTCTACATGCTCCCACAACCATACACACCGTCATCAATATATTTCCACACAAAATTCACACAGTAATCTCCATATGTCCACATATAATTCACACAGTAATCTCTATATGTCCACATATAACACACAGTAATCTCTATATGTCCAAACATAATTTACACAGTAATCTCTATATGTCCACATATAACTCACACAGTAATCTCTATATGTCCACATATAACTCCACAGTAATCTCTATATGTCCAAACATAATTTACACAGTAATCTCTACATGCTCTCACAACCATACACACCCTTATCAATATATGTCCACATATAATTCACACAGTAATCTCTACATGCTCCCACAACCATACACACCCTTATCAATATATGTCTACACATAATTCACACAGTAATCTCTATATGTCCACATATAATTCACACAGTAATCTCCATGTGTCCACACATAATTCACACAGTGATCTCTATATGTCCAAACATAATTTACACAGTAATCTCTACATGCTCCCACAACCATACATACCGTCATCAATATATGTCCACACATAATTCACACAGTAATCTCTACATGCTCCCACAACCATACATACCGTCATCAATATATGTCCACACATAATTCACACAGTAATCTCTACATGCTCCCACAACCATACATACCGTCATCAATATATGTCCACACAAAATTCACACAGTAATCTCTGTATGTCCACACGTAATTCACACGGTAATCTCTACATGCTCCCACAACCATACACACCGTCATCAATATATTTCCACACAAAATTCACACAGTAATCTCCATATGTCCACATATAATTCACACAGTAATCTCTATATGTCCACATATAACACACAGTAATCTTTATATGTCCAAACATAATTTACACAGTAATCTCTATATGTCCACATATAACTCACACAGTAATCTCTATATGTCCACATATAACTCACACAGTAATCTCTATATGTCCAAACATAATTTACACAGTAATCTCTACATGCTCTCACAACCATACACACCCTTATCAATATATGTCCACATATAATTAACACAGTAATCTCTACATGCTCCCACAACCATACACACCCTTATCAATATATGTCCACACATAATTCACACAGTAATCTCTATATGTCCACATATAATTCACACAGTAATCTCCATGTGTCCACACATAATTCACACAGTGATCTCTATATGTCCAAACATAATTTACACAGTAATCTCTACATGCTCTCACAACCATACATACCGTCATCAATATATGTCCACACATAATTCACACAGCAATCTCCATATGTCCACACATAATTCACACAGTAATCTCTATATGTACACACATAATTCCCACAGTAATCTCTATATGCTCCCACAACCATACATACCGTCATCAATATATGTCCACACATAATTCATACAGTAATCTCTATATGTCCACACATAATTCACACAGTAATCTCTACATGCTCCCACAACCATACATACCGTCATCAATATATGTCCACACATAATTCACATAGTAATCTCCATATGTCCACACAATCATTTACACAGTCGGATCTATATGTCCATACAATTATTAACAGCCATCTCTATATGTTCCCAACAATCATACACATAATCTTTATTTGTGCTCACAATTATACAAACAGTCATCTCTATATGTCTTCACTATCATATACACACAGTCTGCATTGTATGTCCACACGCGTACAGACACACACACACACGCACACACATACATACACACACACATGATTGTATGTTCCTGCCCATATACACATTCATTTTGCTACACGAACACACACACACACACACACACACACACACGTACACACACACACACATATACACACACACATATATATACACACACACGCACACATACCCACACACATGATTGTATGTACCTGCCCATAGACACATTCATTTTGCCACACGAACACACACACACACACACAAACATGATTGTATACATATACATACCCATGTTGCCACAAGAACCCTCATACAGTCGTGTCTTAAGCAGTAGCCCAGGAACCCGCTGACAGAAAAAGCAATGATGGGCTGGGCAGCCTCGAGCCTTGATTAGTGTGCAGTGTTAATAATAATAATCAAACAAATGCGCCAACACATGGAGGTGGGGGGGGGGGAGGGGTTCCACGTGAAAAACTTAGTAGTTTGATAAAAATACAGCAATCATGCACAGGCTGGACTGACAGGTATGTATCACCACACACCATGTTGGACTGACAGGTATGTATCACCACACACCATGTTGGACTGACAGGTATGTATCACCACACACCATGTTGGACTGACAGGTATGTATCACCACACACCATGTTGGACTGACAGGTATGTATCACCACACACCATGTTGGACTGACAGGTATGTATCACCACACACCATGTTGGACTGACAGGTATGTATCACCACAAACCATGTCGGACTGACAGGTATGTATCACCACACACCATGTTGGACTGACAGGTATGTATCACCACACACAGGCTGGACTGACAGGTTTGTATCACCACACACCATGCTGGACTGACAGGTATGTATCACCACACACTATGTTGGACTGACAGGTTTGTATCACCACACACCATGTTGGACTGACAGGTATGTATCACCACACACCATGTTGGACTGACAGGTATGTATCACCACACACAGGCTGGACTGACAGGTATGTATCACCACACACCATGTTGGACTGACAGGTATGTATCGACACACACCATGTTGGACTGACAGGTATGTATCACCACACACCATGTTGGACTGACAGGTATGTTCCACCACACACCATGTTTTGGAACCTCTGCCCCACTTAGACACCTCAGATATTATACTGTTCACTCAAATCTAGCTGTTTTGTTTCAGACCCATCCTTGGTCCACTATACGGATCTCCAGGCAGGGTCCAGTCTCCAAGTGTTTTGGGATATCTCGTATCCACACAGGGTAAGTGTTTTTGTACAATTGTGTACATCTGGCTTTTACTGGTATTGTGTACATCTGGCTTATACTGGTATTGTGTACATCTGGCTTATACTGGTATTGTGTACATCTGGCTTTTACTGGTATTGTGTTCATCTGGCTTTTACTGGTATTGTGTACATCTGGCTTATACTGGTATTGTGTACATCTGGCTTATACTGGTATTGTGTACATCTGGCTTTTACTGGTATTGTGTTCATCTGGCTTTTACTGGTATTGTGTACATCTGGCTTTTACTGGTATTGTGTACATCTGGCTTATACTGGTATTGTGTTCATCAGGTTTTTACTGGTATTGTGTTCATCTGGCTTTTACTGGTATTGTGTACATCTGGCTTTTACTGGTATTGTGCACGTCTGGCTTTTACTGGTATTGTGTACATCTGGCTTTTACTGGTATTGTGTACATCTGGCTTTTACTGGTATTGTGTACATCTGGCTTTCACTGGTATTGTGTACATCTGGCTTTTACTGGTATTGTGTTCATCTGATTCTTATTGATGTACTGATTTGAGAATCGACATCATAGCACACCAGGCATACCCATAGATGCTTCGTCTTACGCAACAAATGCCTCAGGCTGTAGATGATAGCCGTTCTTGTAGCACACTGATTATACACACTTCGTTCTTTACCTCTCACGTTTCCCCCCTTGCCGGATCCACTACTAATTCCACGTTCACACATTCTTACACAGGTTTTTACGTCTAGCCTCGGGTCTTCTCTCAGTATTCGTTAATAAATGGTCTTCAGAATGGCTCCTTCACCCAGTACGAGTGTTCCTGTAGCTACCGAGTTTTGTAACCAAAAGATTCTGCTCTTTCATTCCCTCGCACTCCCGCATATCCTGGACAGTATATTCACGTGAGTTCTGATCTTTTACCCGCAAATAGACCCGTTCTGATAACACCAAGGCACGAGACGTTGTCTTTTCAATGCCGTGTTGTCTCTATTTTTGTTGGTTCGGATTAGACTTATCGTTTCGAATGTTAGACCTCTGGATTTTACTTTGTTACTGTCTTCACTGAGTGTTAAATTACAGTGGTTAGTTTGTGTGGATGCTAATCCAGTGACAATAGGTTTTAATCTCATATTGTTTTAATTTATTCATTATCCTGTTTTGACAATATATGTCGTATCCGGCTCGCAGTCGATTCCTCATTTTTGTGCAAACAGCTGAAGATCATGGATGAAATACATCCAGTAGCTTTTGTGTCCTCGCCTTATTGATACCTTTTTATTTCACATTACAGTGCCTGTTTGGTGATTCTTTGCTGGTATCTTCTCAGGATGTGTCCAGTGCAGCCCCATCTTCTCATGATGTGTCCAGTGCAGCACTATCGTCTCAGGATGTGTCCAGTGCAGCACTATCGTCTCAGGATGTGTCCAGTGCAGCCCCATCTTCTCATGATGTGTCCAGTGTAGCCACATCTTCTCAGGATGTGTCCAGTGCAGCCCCATCTTCTCATGATGTGTCCAGTGCAGCCCCATCTTCTCAGGATGTGTCCAGTGCAGCCCCATCTTCTCATGATGTGTCCAGTACAGCACTATCTTCTCAGAATATGTCCAGTACAGCCCCATCTTCTCAGAATGTGTCCAGTGCAGCCCATCTTCTCAATATGTGTCCAGTGCAGCCCCATCTTCTCATGATGTGTCCAGTGCAACCCCATACTCTGACTTATAACTGTTGGTACTAACGCTTGCCCAGATATTTCTTTTGTTTCTTCACTCCTTTTGAATTCATTCAATTTTATTCTCATCATTTTCTTCGGACATTTTTTTTCGAATCTATTTAACTTTTGTCTGATATCTTTAGTGTTGTTTCAACTTTCACTTGTGCAAAGACTCTGTTCTTTATCTCTATCTCGCTCCAGTCACTGCAGGCTCCTATTTCACAGACCGGCATCAACACGACCACACTACCACACTTTTCTATAGTACTGGTTATGTAAAGTCTGTAAAGTCTGGACATCACACTAGCACGGCTACATATATAGGCACTCAGATAACCTGGTATCATAGATATGTGTAAACCCAGTTGTCTTGATCTCAATCTCTCAATTGTCGATAGGCTGTCAGACAACTCATGTCAGCCATATTTGTTCAGCATTTTAGAGATTTGGAATACATTTATTCTACGGGATGAGGTTACTAGTCTCACTCAAGCTGACCTTAATCGCCTTTGCGACGTTAATTTCTGTATACAATAGTAAGATTACCTAAAACTTTGAATGGCCTTTTTAGATGATTGTGACAGCTTAAAGAAACCACCCTTCCCCCACCCCCTTTCCATTGCACATTAAATTATTATAAAAGGTTTAAATTATTTCACAACATGCCAGTTTGAAAGAATAACAAGAACCGATTTCATCTACCGCCATCGTTCTTTGATCCCTGGCACAGTTGCCTGATTTTGAAGTACATTAAAACTAATCTTTGATAATTCGCCTGTGGCTGTCTTTTATGTGGAAATAGATGTGGTGGGAAACGAGACCACTTTGTACTTAGATCATTTGTAAAGAAAAAAAAAAATGATCACACATAATGAGTAGATGGTGCTAAATAGAAAGGTTGTGCCATGAAAGGTACTGCAGTTGGGTTGTGAAATGTTTTGACTTCTGCATATCAGCGGCCGCCGACACCAGAAAAACATCCCCTGTGGCGGAAGGTCTAAGGGGTAAACAAAAAAAAAAAAAAAAAGCTTGCTTAGAATAATGGTTCTGAACCTTCCAAATGCCGCCACCCTTTAATACAGTTTCTCATGATGTAGCGACCCCCCAACCACACAGTTATTTTCGTTGCTACTTCACAAGTTCAGTGAATATGTGTTTTCCAATGATCTTTGGCAACCCTGTGAAAGGGGCGTTCGACCCACAAAGGGGTCGTGACCCTGTGAAAGGGGCGTTCGACCCACAAAGGGGTCGTGACCCTGTGAAAGGTGCATTCGACCAACAAAAGGGTCGTGACCCTGTGAAAGGGGCGTTCGACCCACAAAGGGGTCGCGAACCATAGTTTGAGAACCGCCGACATAGAGGCTAGTGAATGCGGTTAACAATGTCATGACCCTCGAGTACTGTGGTTAGTTCCCCGCGCTGGACGAGTAAAAATCCGTTCTCCTGGTTTTCAGACATATTCATGGCATTGTGGTGCTGGGGTGTCTGTGGATTACCTACCTCCCCGGGCAGCAGCTAGGAATGCCCTGTACCAGTTCTAAAGGAAATATGGGTTGTGTTTCTGCCTTTCCCTTTAACACGTAGCTAAGGTGGGGCTCACAGTGTGCTCATTCCCCGCCACCAGATTGCCTGCAGGTTTCGCTGAGCTCTTCATGTCTCTAAGCATGGCCTAAGCATGAGTAGTTGGGGCAACTGGATCGTCACGTCCTGAGTCCCTGTGCCTTCACGATAGTTTCCGGTATTCAGGGGGGTTAGCATACTTGTTTCCATTCCTAAGACTGTTCAGCACACCTCTGGCTCCTTCCCTCCCACAGGGGGCAGTACGGTGTGGTGCACCGGGTTTATTATCGAGGTTTGCTCCTCTAGATCCATTGTGTTTTGCCTGGGGATTCGCACCCCCAGTTACCGGGACTACCTCGGGGAGGCTGTGACTCTTCGCCACGCACAATGGTCTTGAGGTAAGAGAGGTTTTGCTAGGTCAAGAGGCTGACACCACAATGGACGCTCCTTTCGTGAACAGATATTCACTAGACCTAGGGTGAAGTAAGGGGGGGGGAACCCACTACCCACAACACCAACACTTCTTACCCCCTGCCTCTTGTACGGAGGAAAAGAACAGCTTGTGAAAACATGCAAATTCCACTACATGGCATTGGGCCAAAGGGCGAAAGCTCATGCGCCGCTGGATCGATAACAACAACAACAACCTGGTTTTCAGACAGTGGTACGAGAGTTGCACCGTGGAAGAGATTGGAGTAATTTTTCCAAAGACAGCAGTGATACACTGTAACCAACCTCCATTTTGGAGACGCCACGGAACTTTATACATGAAATAATTCACTGAATGACGAGAAAATTTAACGATGTATTTGAATGGATGTGTTATGTATATACAGCAGAACTGTGCAGAGACAAAGTCCTAATAGGGATTATGTTGTGTATATAAAGCAGATCGGTGCAGAGACATAGTCCTAATAGGAATTCTGTTGTGTATATACAGCAGAACTGTGCAGAGATAAAGTCCTAATAGGGATTCTGTTGTGTATATACAGTAGAACTGTGCAGAGACAAAGTCCTAATAGGGATTCTGTTATGTATATACAGTAGATCGGTGCAGAGATAAAGTCCTAATAGGGATTCTGTTATGTTTATACAGCAGAACTGTGCAGAGACATAGTCCTAATAGGGATTCTGTTATGTATATACAGCAGAACTGTGCAGAGACATAGTCCAAATAGGGATTCTGTTATGTATATACAGCAGAACTGTGCAGAGACATAGTCCTAATAGGGATTCTGTTATGTATATACAGTAGAACTGTGCAGAGGCATAGTCCTAATAGGGATTCTGATATGTATATACAGCAGAACTGTGCAGAGACAAAGTCCTAATAGGGATTCTGTTGTGTATATACAGTAGAACTGTGCAGAGACATAGTGCTAATAGGGATTCTGTTGTGTATATACAGTAGAACTGTGCAGAGACTTAGTCCTAATAGGGATTCTGTTGTGTATAGTTGTCAGCCCAACTTTCATCTTTATTTGTACAACAGTCAGCTCTGTTTTCGTGATCAGTTATACGAAAGTTACCTTATTCTTGACAACGATTTTTGCGAGAGAGAGGAGAGAGACAAAGGAGAGAGAGAGAGACAAGAGAGAGAGGAGAGAGAGAGAGAAAGAGAGAGAGACAGAGGAGAGAGGAGAGAGAGAGGAGAGAGAGAGAGACACGAGAGAGATGAGAGAGAGAGAGAGAGAGAGAGAGAGAGAGAGAGAGAGAGAGAGAGAGGAGAGAG